ATAGGATTCAAGGTTAAAGTTTCATTAGAGATATTAAACGAATCTAGATATGCTGTTGAAGTCAATCTAAATTTTAGGTGATTATATTTAATTCTGATAAAGTTGATTTGAGATTAGTGTTACGAATATTTCTAAATTGACCCCTACATGTATATGTGATTTATTTATAATTTCTTTATACTTTTTTAAACATTCAATTAAAATTTTAAAAATAGAATTCATTGCTTAGTGATAAAAAATTATTATTTTTTAAAAAAATTTGAATTCTAATAATTATGTTCAATAAATTAAAAAAAATAAATATTATTTTATAATACTCTTGAACAATTGGGCAATTAAGGGGATTGTCTATCTAATCCCGAGGGATTCGGAATCGATTTTTGTTTGGGTTTTTTAACATTGTCAATTCATAATTGTTGTGTTGTTAGGAGCCGTCATTCACAGCAACCGTACGACCACGTGGCCAGTTTCTATTTGAGTGCGCGAGTAACCTTCATGATCACTATGACATGGGAACCGAAACGCCAAACGGAACGGGGAGGGAAGTTATACCGTACGAAGGTAAAGAAAAGTACTATTAAAAATGTTATTTTTTTTAAAATTTTTGATAAAAAAATTATCTAAAATATTATTATTTTTATCAGAAATATTATTGTTACGTGTTTTATCGGATTTGATAGTATATCTGATAAAATAAATAACATTTTATCAGATATATTATCAAATCCGATAAAACACGTAATAATAACATTTTTAATAAAAATAATAATATTTTAGATAATTTTTTATCAAAAAATATTAAAAAATAATAATATTTTCGATAACGTATTTCCTTATACATATATTAAACCGTCGCACGTGACTAAACGGTTTCACATGCACAATGGATAACGTTGGCGGGTCCCATAAAAGATAACCTGTTAGTTCCATGTCAGCATAAAGTACACGCCTCATTGTACACGTCATCCAAACAGGGCACAAGGCAGGTAAGATAATAGAACAGAAGAAAAAAGCGAAAAAGCAAATCAAAACAGAAAGGAATGTGAAGGTAAAGGAGAACTCAATCAAAAGCTAACCATTTTTTTTAATCTAATTTTGAGTTTTTCTTGGATTTTTTTTAGTTTCCTGCTTTGGTTTTTTTCTCGGGAAGCAAACACAAAGGTGAGTGTGTGTCGTTCATTTCGATTTGTTAACTTTTAGATCTTTGTATCTTAGATCTCTTTTGTTTAATGATCCATCAGCTGAATAGATATATGGAGGTAAATTTGATGTTATTCGTTTGTGATTGTTTTTCTTTTTAATTTTGAAAGTTGCTTGTTTCTGGATAATTCTTAAGACCGGAAAAAAAGTTGCATCAGAAAGAATAATTCTAATTAGTTTCTGCTTAATTTGTCATGTTAGTGATATTATTTATTTATTTATTTTTCGTTTTGCAGTTAGAACTTATAGAGATTAAGGGTACTTTCTTTCCCTTTTCTTAAGAAAATCCAATTTGTTGTATTACTAAGGTGAATTTGGTTTCTAAATAAGATTTTCAAATTTTTGTGTATGTCTCGAATATGAATATGTGTATATATTCGGCTTTCTTTAAGATTTTGTATATCTAGAGAATTTTTGAAGGATCATATTTTAATACCGATAACCTGAAAAAAAATTAAGTGTTCCACTACCATATGTAGTTTAGATTTCTCCGTAACTGTCCTGAACTTTTGTAGATCTTGGAAAGTGGAGCTTGAGATTTCTTCATCAAAAGAACGTCATCTTTTTGTTCCATTATCAAGCTTATGAATTTGAAGTGATCATTTGAATACACATATACATACGAGAAGACATTCTTTTTTTAATTTTGGAGCTCTGACATGGAGAAAGTCTGTGAATTCTGCACAACTTCAAGACCAGTTGTTTATTGCAAATCTGATGCAGCACATCTGTGCCTTTCCTGTGACGCGAAGGTCCACTCAGCCAACGCACTTTCAAACCGGCATCTCCGTACCCTCCTATGTGACTCATGCCGACTCTGCCCATCACATGTTTATTGTTTTGATCACCGGATGTTCTTGTGCCCTGGTTGTGACCAAAGCGTCCATGATGCTTCTCCTCAGCACCACCAGAGGCGAGCAGTTAGTAGCTATTTAGGGTGCCCTTCGGCCAAGGATTTTGCAGCATTGTGGGGTTTTGAAATTAATGAATTGGATAACAATCCTCTTCAAGATTGGTCTTTATCCAATTCGTGTGTTTCTGTGAATGCCAATGTGGTTGAAAAGGGGAATTTAAGACAGTCTTGTTCGCGAATTGGTGTCTCTTCGAGTAAATCCGGTGTGGCTTCTCTCGCTGCCACAGGACGCAATTCCGGGTCAAACAGTCAACAAGCCAAGGTTAATTGATATGATCTATTTGAAAGAAGATATTGGTGATTTGTCATTATTTTTCTTCAACTGTTATGTTTTTCTTGTAAGTAGATCCTCCTAATATGATTTCCACAACATGCAGCAAACATATGTCACATGCAGTTAGCTATCCTGAATTGTGTTGTTTTAACTCTTTGGTTTTCTTGAAGTACTTATGTTCCACATATATTCAAACATGAGCATTTTGATATGACCCCTAGGGATCTCCAAAGAAAAATTTGAACATACCCATGTCGAGCACATATTTGAACATGGGTATTTTACTGAGCTCAGTACACTTTTTTTTTTTACTTTGTTCTTGTTTTTGCAGGTTATGGACAAAGTTCAGCAGGTGAAGAATACTTCACTGGTTCTGCAACAGATTCTTGACCTGAAAAAACTTCAGCTCACTGAAGGAGACGGTCATTTTCCTTATAATGGTGGCCTAGAACGAGCTGACACATCTTCAATATGCACCTCTTCAAAAAATGTTGATAGTAATCTCGTCCAAGACATTAGTACCAATATCCACCGAAGTAACCATCCACTTGAGGAGCTGAATACGGATCTGGACAACCTATTGCCATCTTCAACTTCCGGGATGCCTTTCTACGGGGAATCTATTTGGCTAAGTAAAAGTCCAATCCGTGATAGTCAGGTGCATTCCACTGATCGCCAAGTCATCAAAATTGATCGTCTACATAACCGATAGAACTTTTCATTTTTTTCTCAAGTAATAATATCCCAACATATGTGTCTACAATGGGGTATGATGTTAAGTGTGTTTCTTAATTGAATTCTGCAGTTATGGTCTCAAAATATGCAAGATCTTGGAGTTTGTGAAGACACATTTTGCCCAGATGACTTCAACATGCCTGATATTGATTTATCTTTCCGCAACTTTGAAGACCTGTTTGGTGTTGATCAGGGCCTAACCAGGGGACTGCTTGCTAATAAAGACGTTCCGAGTTCATCTATGGAGAAGGAGATGACATCCAACAACTTGGTTAATGTTAATGCTATTTCAATGGAGGTTAGATTCATGTCACTCATTTTTTTCTTTTATCTTTTTTACCTTGTGACTTTATAATACAGATATTCAGTGTTTGATGCATATTCCGATATTTGTCCGATGCATATAAAATTTGAACCTTAAAGAACCCTTTAGAACCAAATTGTTCATCATTGATTTTATATTTGGGAGAAAAGTATTTAAAAAAAACTTTTCTGAGTAGCATAGCTTTGAACCTTCTATTTGGTGTTCCTTTCTTGCCAAGACACCAGGCTCACTTGTTTTCACTATTCAGTATTCTGACATAGAAATGGTGTTCTGACTCTTTATTTTTTATTTTTTTAAAAATTACTTATTATCCAATATTCATGTCCATCATATAAATATGAAGATATGGTCTCCAAGGATATTTCAAATCCGAAAATTTAACCGCACTTACATTCGTGCCTGAGTAACAAAGGAAATTAATATGGATCCTTTCAGCTAACCACATTTCATTCATAACTTCCAGGGAATCAGCGTTTCTGCTTGCACACTTCAACCGTTTTATTCAGCAATGTCGTCTGTTTCAAGGTTCAGTAATGATACTAGTGCTCCCAACTATCTTGATAATGGAGTTTCACCTATCATAGATGGGGAAGCTTCATGCATTTCTCCTGACCTGGATAGCTTTCATTCAGAAGCCAGAGAAAATGCCATGATGAGGTACAAAGAGAAGAAGAAAGCCCGACTGTGAGCATCGATTTTCTTCTTTCTTGCAGATTTTATCTATGTTATTTGGATTTAGGTGTCATATAAGAATGCGTTTGGAGTATCTTTTAGAGATACGTCCATAGAGGATCATATCCATATTCGGTAGTTGGGACTTGCGTGTAGAGATAAGATCTACAAAAAGACCTTTCAAATACATGAACTTTAAAAATTTGAAAAGAACCATGTCAAACACATATCTAATAATTGTCCTCAAGTCCGAGTAATATGATATTCGGCATTGTAGCCTTCCGAGTCGGTGGAAACAAATATACCAGTGTGTTACTTCTCTCCCAATTTCCACTGAAAGTTCACAGTTGAAAATATATAACTCGTGCCTTGTAGTCTTGTACCTAATTTTTTTCAAACTTCAAGTTCTGTACATAAACTGAGTGCCATTGAAATTTGCAAACATGCATGTTTATAGAGTTTTCTTGCGCAATTACCTACTTTTGAGACTAGAAACGCAGGTAAAACCAATGTTACTCGGATTCTATGTTGTCCCATGTATATATTCAACATGGGTATATTTAATATTTTCTCCAAAATTATCATGAATTGAAACGTCCTTGAAAAACATATTTCCATAGTAATGTCTGGGTATACATGGAAGATGAGAATTTAGAACAAAAGATTTGGAACAACATAACCTAAAGTACTTGTGTTAGATACCCGTGTCCTATATATTTGAGACGAGTATACAAAGAGAAGATATGAATCCTTCATGCACGTGAAAAAAATTCAGAGAACCATAATTAAACATACTTATGTTGAACATGTAACTGTCATTCCTCGGGGGAAAAGGGGGGCAAACAAGAGGGTGTAGCTATCTCTTCTATTATTGTTTATTATATAGTCTTTGAATGTTGTTCAGGCATGACAGACAAATTAATTGTGCATCCCAGAAAGCTAAAGCTGATGTAGAGAAGAGAGTAAAAGGGAGAATTCAGAAGACGGAGGACTATGATTCTGATCGTCCAAATGTGGAAAAGAGCTATTAATTTCCTCTCTCTCTTATATATATGTATGTATTGTTCATGTATTACTCATTATCAATTCCAGGTTCTGTAAGTACCACTTGTTACTCGATCTTCTATTCAAAACTTAACCAATTCTTTCACCTCCATCTGTTTATAGTTTCTATTCATGAAACTAATGTCATGTATGCGGTTTGCATTTATGCTAGTGTATTCAAGTTTGATTATCGAATCCGAGTTTATGAGTTTGTATTTATGTTATTGGTTCAGGTCTGAGTATATATGTTCAGGCTTTCTTTTCTAGGGATTGACAATAGATTCTGTAGTTTTGAATATTTACTGAATCCTATTTGTTTTTTTTTGTAGTTTATATACTGTAATTACTATTTGGAATGGGATCACAGCAAATGTATATATTAATTATTGTATATTTATTACTGAATCCTTATATGCATCCCGTATTCTCGAGATAGTATAACTATTCACTTTATGCACAATACTATTCTCAGCCTTGCCTCCATGTTTAAAGTATGATAACTGTCGAAAGTGACTAAACAAAAAGGGTTCGTAGAGAATCTTTGTTTCCCTTAGCGTCGATGTCGTAGAACTATTTACCTACTACACAATAATATTTTTAGTAGTGTCCATATATTTATGTTAAGTTGCGGTCCTTATTGTTTCGTTTGTTCATCATCATTTTCATTCTACATATAAAGAAGTTTTGTTGCTGTTTACACTCTCACTCATTTATATCATGTATATTATTTGAGATTTTTCAATGCGATGCTGAAAATAGTATTGATGGTTTTATATTAATTCTATTTAATTTGTTGGAACTTTTATTTGGCTTCTAGTAATATGTATATATTTGCAAAAGTTTGATTGTATGTACGAGCCTTGAAAGTTTTGGATCGCAGTAAATATTTGTTACTACGGACAACTTTCATTTAAAAAAAATCTTCAAATCTTATATAAAGATATTATGTCAATATTGACATATACATGACCATGTATATTATAACTAAGATTCTATCATTGGGAAATTTCGATAAAAATATTATTCATGCATATCTAAAAAATGCGGCGTTTCTCCCGAAATATCACCCTATATATTTTTCTGTCAGACACCGTTCAAACTATATTTCTCGATCTAACACTCTTTGTAAGAAGGCGTGCCCCCTGCACCGCGCTTTACGCCAGGTGGTCCAAGGGGGCGTGCCTTACCAAATGTGTAAAAAACTCGGGTGTTAGTTTTGTAAATATTTTTAAACGGGTGTCAAATACATCATTAATTTATATTATATTGACATTTGTGTAAAAACGTCAGCATTTTGACACCCCACACCGCACGGTTCCATGTTGTGAACTGGCTGGGGTTTTAATGAAGTGGACAGTGTGTGTAATGGTTGAGTTTATTATTATTTTAGTGTTACAAGTTTATTTTTTATAATAATAAATTTTTATAATTTTAAAAATTATAAATTTCATATATTTTGAAAAAATTATTTTTTTAAATTAATTGTTTAAAAATATAAAAAAAATATTAAAACAAACTTTTAATTACAATTAAGGGATTAAATGAATTAGTATTCATTAATTTTTATTTTTTAATAACATTTAATAATGTTTATTCATTTTTTATTAAATTATTTTGATTTTTTCATTAAATTTATACAATATGTATAATCTAGTATAGGAAAACTTTGAGATTAAGTATTTTAAAATATGAATAATTTTATAAAAAATTTATAACTAGTATTTCTTTTACAAAATGATGATGATAATAATAAATATTTTATAATTTTAAAAATTATAAATTTCATATATTTTTTTAAAAAATATTACCTTTTAAAATTATTTATTTAAAAATATAAAAAAATATTAAAATAAACTTTTAATTACAATTGAGGGATTAAATAAATTATTGTTCATTAACTTTTAATTTTTAACAACAATTAATAATGTTTATTCATTTTTAATAAAATTAATTAAATTTTGCATTAAAATTACATAATATATATAATCTAGTATATAAAAACTTTGAGGGTAATTATTTTAAAATATGAATAATTTTATAAAAATTTTATAATTAATATCTCTTTTACAAGAAGATGATGATAAATATTTTATAATTTAAAAAATTATAAATTTTATATATTTTTAAAAAAGTATTACCTTTTAAAATTAATTGTTAAAAAATAGAAAAAATATTAAAATAAACTTTTAATTACAATTGAGGGATCAAATAAATTATTATTCAATAATTTTTTAAAAATATATAAAATTTATAGTTTTTTTTATTATAAAAAAATATTATTATAAAAAATAAATTTATGACACTAAAATATTAAAAAACTTAATCAATATACACACTCTCCACTTCATTACCTTGTAACAATACTCTTTCAAGTTCACACCATGAAAACTATGTGGTATAGGGGTGTCTACACTATTTAAAATACTGACGATTTTATATAAATATCACTATAATAGAACTAATGACATATTTAATATCTGTTTAAAAATATTTATAAAACTAACACCTAAATATTTTACACATTTGATAAAATGAGTCCCTTTCGATCACGTAAAATACGATACAAGAAACGTACCTTCTTACAAAAAATATTAGATTAAAAAATATAATATAAACTATATCTGACAGAGAAATATATAAAATTAAGGTGATATTTCAAAAAAATACGCCTAAAAATGCTCTATAAGAATTATTTATATATTTTACTTTTGGTTTTAAAATATTTAGTTATACATTCATTTTACCCAACGTAAAACTTTTTAATTTTTCACATATTTAACCCAACGAGTGAAAATAAGAAAAACTATTCGACGCTATCTGAACTCCAATAACATAGATCTATCTTATTCTATCTATAAAAAAAGTAGTCTTACCTTCCAATTAAACCGATAAATCAACAGTTAATTCAATCTTCACCGACTCAATAACAAATATACATTTTTCCGGTTACAAATTCAAGATAAAGTTAACTTTTCTACAAAAAGTATCCATTACTTAATTTTTATTAATTAAAAGCTTAAAAAATATGGGTCGATGCACCTGTAGCGAGGAAGCTTTTTCAGATGAGCTTTCATAGAAGAGTGTAAAGAACAAATCTATACAGGAACAAAAGGATCAGTAAAAAATAGATAAGATTTATCGATTTGACTTGCAAACTACAGGAAATAATGGATCAGAAGATGAAATCTCTTGAAGACAGGTAAGAAAATGGAGATGAAGAACTGGAAATCAGCGGAATGGGGGGAATCGGAAAGATTTTATTCAAAAAATTAGATTCTAAGAAAGACACAAAAATCTTTCCGCTCTCCCCACTCCTAAAACTTCCAGTAACTCTCTCTCTCTTTTCGTCTTCAAAACTGATCAGATCTGGCGAAAGGATAGAGAAGCAAGGCGAGAAGAAAGAGAAAGTAAAAGAAATCATAGGCATGAGTGGAATCCAAAAGAAAAATTACGGAAAGTGTGCATATATAATTTACTTCATATTTTCTTGCCGAATCAACCACAGCCAAAAACTTCCTTTCTTTCCCCTTCTCTCGTTTTCCTTTAGTTTTATACTTCACCAAAGTATAAACGATATGCCAATAAAAGGTGATATACTTAATTTATAACAACTATTTTTACAGATGCTTCTGGAATACCCTATTGCCTCCATAAACATATTTCATTAGAGGGTAAACTATAATGATGGTCACTTTTATTTTCTATCTGTTTGATTTTGTCATCGATTTTGATAAATATTAATTTTGATCATTAACGTTTGCGGTGGTTTATACCATTTTTATTTCTCGCAAATTAATATTTATTAAATTATTGACATGAAACGTTAATAAAACCATTAATTTCTAATTTTGATCTTTAAATTTTTGACCTTTCTAAACAAAATCTAAAAATAAAAATCAGTTTTCTTCTTTCTTGTATATTCCAACACCCCTCTCTCACCCCTAACACTGCTCTTTTGCCGCCTTCGTTCTCCGACGAATTGAAACCGTCAACAAAATCAGAATCACAAGCAAATTAGACCAAACATCATTGATAAATGAAAACTACTTTAATAAAGTCATGTTTGTAAGTATGGATAATTTTGATAAAGACGTCGGTAACTATCAACAAATTCGCTTTATTTATTTTCTTTATATTTTGATACCAAATCGTAAAAAATAAATAAAAGTAAACGATTAATTTTTTTATGAATCAACATTAAATGAATTTTAAACGTCTTCCTTAAATTCGTCATTTTAATTTATACTAGACATTTTTATAAAATTCCATTTTAATTTCTATATTGTAACTTTTTTTTCCATTTTGATCTTAAAAGTAAAAATTAAAATAAAATCGTTACAAAAATATATCTATTCTCCTAATTAATATGATACAATCCCTAGATCTCTAAAGGAAAAATTAGCATCCATTTCCCACTAATTTTACCCAAGATATGTTAAGATTGGAAGAGAGTTTTGCAGATTGATTTAACCTAATAAAGATAATGAGTTTTTTATTTAGTCGGGTAAGTAAAAATTATTTTGGGATATACGATATTTTTTACAGTGTTATTAGAATTCGTCAAATCGAGATAACGAGTTTTAATAAAAATATTTTTTTGAACTCATCACGTCGAAGTGACGAGTTCAAATAAAATATAATTTTTTATTAAAATCTATCACATTAAAATAAAAATACCATAAATCCCATGTCACCGTAAAAAATACTATAAATCCTAAAATAAATTTGTACTCATCCTAATGGATTAAATAAAAAATCCATATAGGATAAAATTTTCCAGTTTTGCATGTAAAATATTATTTCTTGTGTTTTACACAGGCTGTCGGCAAATAGACCAAGTGACTCGTGTCCGCTATTTATCATTTTTTAAATTGTTTTTATATATTTATATCATTTGATGAGTTGATTTTTTTCGTATAGATTTTGATATTCTTATGTCATTGGTATATTTGAATATTAAAATGATATTTTCAAAAATACATAAAGTACAAATAGTATATAAAGATATATCTGAACAAAATATGAAATTACTGATAAACTTGAAATTATATTCTAAAATCAATTCATACACCAAAACAAAAAACCATAAGCCTGCTACTTTGGATTTAACTGCAGTATATAAAGCTTGTCTAGATGTTTTCAACTTGGGCATTGAAATTGGGAGACAGAGTTTATGTTGTTGTTTCCATGGTTTGGGTGTGGTGTGATTTTAGTGTCTTGCGTTTTTGCAAGAGTTGTGTTGGGGCAGCTGGTCCTGGTAGCCTATGGTGAGGCTCTGAGTGTGTTTTTTACATGGAGGATGAATCGTGTTGGAATTTGGTTTGGATCCATAAATGATGTTGATTCTGGTAGAGTTTCTCAAGGATTTAACGTCTCCAAATTTGTTTGAGGTTGTGGAGCTGGAACAGTTTTTCAATTAGTCGTGGTTTTTATGCGAGAGCGAACTCTATTGATCGGATGAAGTTAGAGAATGAAGCGGTGGTAACGTTTTGTGTGGGTGAGTCACCGGGCGGTGTTTTCTCAGCTACGATAGGTGGTGTTTCAAAGTTTGGAGCTCTATGAGCTCTTGGGTAAGTTTGATTTGGGAATCAAGGAGGTTGTCGGAGATGGTGATCTGACATACAGGCACACACATGCTGCTTCTTTTGGTGGAAATAAGGAGGTTGTCGGTGATTGTAAATTCTTTTTCGAGTTTCAAGGTTTTTATTATATTAGGGTAAGCTTCTTTTGGTGATCTGACATACATGCACACACATGCTGCTTCTTTTGGTGGAAATAAGGAGGTTGTCGGTGATTGTAAATTCTTTTTCGAGTTTCAAGGTTTTTATTAGATTAGGGTCCGCATGATATGGGTGTTAATGTGGAGCAGGGCATGGCGTGGTGAGTAAGTGTTGTGTGTTCGGGCAGGATTATAGTCTGAATCATGTAAAAGTGTTGTGAGTATTTGTTCTTCACCATCCTAAGGTACACTCTTTTTCCTCCATTTAGGATTAGAATGATTTTTTAATGAGGTCCTTAAGGTGGTTTACTTTGTTATTCTTAATACAAAGTACCATCTTTAAAAAAAAGTGTTCAATTAATCAATTCGATTAACCAATCAAACTGGATTATTCAAAACTCACTAATCAAATATTTTTCCCTTAATTTATTAACCAAACTAAAAAAATTTAACCATACCAAATAAAATTCTATTAATTTGATCGATCTTCAAATTAACCAAAATTCATACATAATATAAACTATATATTAAATATTTTCGATTGATTAATTAGGTTAAAACCAAAGTTTGAAAAACCCTACTTTCAATGGTACGATAACAATACACAGATTCACGTGGAAAAAGAGCTGGCAATTACGAAAACGACAGAATGCACAAAGAGTTAAACCTTACTTGGAACACAATTTATAACATGATAAAATACACATTACACAAACTACTGGGCCTGGTATGACGTATGTAGGCATACACTTTTATTACAAATTTCTTTAGTATAATCTAAAAGCCGAAAACACGGTTAAAAAAGTAACAAATGAAAGTATGTTCCGAAAGCTACCAACTTTTACCTCTAAAATTTACAGCCATCACCGTCTGTTTGGAGTTTCCAACCAAAAGGTTCTGCTGGTTTTGATGCAGTAGGCAAGAATCAACTTCAAGTAGAATTTAAAACTTAACTTCAATGAGCTCTGAAAGATGAGATCAGAGTACCATCTTTCCGGAGTCGATTTTATTCTTCGGGTCACGGATATAAAAAGCAAAGCGAAGACCGTCCTGAGGTGGGTCTATGGAGGTCATTCTTCAACAATATTAACCAGTTCATATTCAATAAGTGACAGATTGTTATCTTCCTTCACCGTAAAACTAGCGCGTTCGGCAACCTCAACACGACCCCATTTGTCCACTGCAAGCCTCATCGATCCTTTAAACATGTCAATTTTTGCGTTGCGAAGAGTTAGGGTAGCACCTTCTTTCATTAAGTCCACTACAAAAATAAATAAAAAGATGGTGTTAGTTCTGATTAACACAATAATTATTTTAAAAATAAAGCATGGTCTATCACCTTCGCTTTCGGATGACGCTGCATAATTAGTAAAACATCATAGCACAGAAACCTTGAAATGGTTGCCAAAAACATATTTTTAATCACCATTGGGTGAGATTTCATATGTATAAAATTTCTGAGAAAGCAAAAGACTATTGAATTCCATCATAACCATAGGTGAGGGATGGTGAACGAACAAATATCTCATCTTGGATACGTGACTACAACTATGGAAACAAAAGATCAAATAAAAAGCAATTGAATCATCATTTTATGCAGAACAAATGTGGTTGTCGGAATGAATAAACGCAAAAGATGCATACCCTTAAAATGTGCAAACTTATATCCAGCAATGATATTGGAACCTATGTTCTCCAATTGTTCAATTTTCTTTAAGTATTCGTGTCTGATACATGAGTATAGGATACAACCTCTAAAGATCCTACAAATAAATGTCCCTATCTGACATTCACACCCAAATCCAAGCAACATTAATCTAACCACTAAAAAGCTAATAGGCTGTCATAGGAAAAGCCAAAACTAGCATCTAATGCATTCCCATACAATATTATATCTTTTCTTTTATGACTTGAACACTTTAACAACATGAAATTAATGCTGCATTGCTTGTCCAAAAAGGAAAGAGAACTATAATACGGAAAGCAATGAGTGATAACAAAATTTCCCAAGAGAAAATACAATCAAACATAAAATAAGTGAATAGAAGTGAAAAACATAGTAAAATGCATGAGAAGAGAAATAAAAAACAATAACAAAAGCAAAACTACAACTGGAACCAAACCGAGTTAGGAGAAGATCACAAACAATAAACCTTGTTCATTTCTTGCGGTAAAGATGATCATTCCTGTCTCGTCTCCGACCAAACATTCAGCAATTCGCATTTGACGTACTTGGGGACCAACAGGACGACCCTTCTGCAGTACCATCTTTGTATTGACAACCTTGACAGTAAGTGTATGACCACTAGTCCCCGGGCGAAGTTGGTCCACCTGGGTGAAAATAGGTTTTCTCAATGTCTTTGTTTCCGCCATTTCAATACCTTCAGGGGAAAAAACACAGATGGATCATAAGCCTACTAAAAAATACAAAAAAATTACCACTAAAATAAGACTCTTAATCATGGAGACGCAAGGAATTAAAGCATATTACTAAATTCCAAATTTAGAAATTTTCAAATCTAAACAAATAAATTTAAATGAGTGAGAGAAAACTTATTTAAAACTCAAATTGATTTTTAACGAAATTAATGATCCAAACAGTTAGTTAAAAAAAACAGTTCAATATAGCATCCAAAGCCAATAGTATGGTCTGTGCAACTTGAATTCCAATTTAATAGGACAACACAATTCTAATAATAATCACTAATTTTAGACAGAATACTAAAATCCCTACCATCTTCCCTAAATTTTACAGATTTTGATACACAAACAGAGAGATCAGATAATAAAATGAATGAAATCTAACGAATCAAACTCCTGTAATTTTTCTTTCATAATTCACCATAATGGTAACAATCGTTGGCAAAATTTCACGAACAACAAAAATACAAAAGAAAAAAAAAAGGAATCGCATATTGGACAAAAAACAATTCAAAGAATGATTTGAGAGTTAGAAAAATTAAGGTTTTTGAAATTACCCTCTGAAGATTTGGAGAGCTAAACCGAATCTGGGATTAGAGCAAACAGAGAGATCCGAGAAGACATCTAGCAGTTAGCGCAGTCAAAGTAGACTTTTGAAGGAAACGTTTTCCAATCAATATCCACCGTTAATCTCCGGTTATATTTTACAAATCTAAATCGTACACGTAATCCTATTTTATGATTTTATCGAAGTCTACATCTACTATAAACCAAAATATATAACGTTTTATCGAAGTTTTTTAAAACTGAACCTAAATTTTTAACATTTAAAAATTTATTATCCACTAAAATATTGAGTAAAGTACATAAATAGTCCTCCGACTATAGGATAATTATTTTTTGTCTCTCAACTATTGAAAGTTATAAAATAGTCACCAAAATATTAATTTGTTCCAAACTCATCATTTTCCATTAAAATATTAAATACATTTTAAGCTGGACATTAATCTAATGACTGAGATACAATAAAATCACATTTTAATGATGTATACTGACATCGTCTTTGCTTTCAAATATTGTCTTGATGATATAATGTTTAAAGTATTGGCTCGACAATATATATATAAATAGAGTCTCGATCCATAAAATACAAGCTCAAATGGTCATGAGATCAGATTTTATCATTATCCAATGAGTTTGTTAATGTTTAACTCAGACGGTCGTCAAATTTTAACGGAAAATGACGAGTTTGAAACATATTAATAGTTAAGTGACTATTTTGTAACTTTTAATAATCGAGTGACTCAATAATGCAACACCTTATAGTTAATGAACCATTTTATATTTTTTAATAATTGAAAGACTTAACATAACGACACCTTATAATTAGGAGACCATTTGTGTACTTTACCTTAAAATATTTATATATTCTCACAATAACACTATTTCTGTTACACCAAAATTTTATAACGTTTTATCAAAGCTTCTAAAGCTACATCTAATTTTCGAAAGTTTGAACTTCTTATATCTATTAAGAAAATTGTACTTAAAAAGTTTATTATTTGATAGAAAATTGAGGTAGGAAGAACGTCTCATAATAAGTTTATACAAAATTTATTTTGGATTAATCGATTAATAGATCAAATATCAATGACTAAATAAATAATAATAATACTAATGCCAAAGTATTTTGCTTTATCAAAATATTTCATCAATTTAAAATTTCTAACGTACCAAAATATGTAAACATAAAAATATTTAATGATTGCAAGAACCAAATAACCTTAGTAGTTAAGGAATTATTATTATTCTTTGAGCTCTCGGGTTCGAACATCATGTATGTGAAGAGTATGAACGTCTAATGTCAAATAGTTAAGAGTCTTTGAACATATACTAACTTATACTCATCTCAGATTAATAAAAAAATATTTAATGGTTTGCCAAAATATTACACATATAGATTCAAATTTTAATGGGTAATTGAGTTTAATTTTATTATAATTATAATGGTAGAAGATTATGATGTAATTAAGTTTATTTTGATAAAAAAATTCTCATAGAGTACGGATTCTTAGTGACTAAATTTGTTTTATCTATAAATATAGAGTATGATCAAAATATTTAATGGTTTGTCAAAGTATTAAATATGGATTTAAATTCTAATTTGTAATTTAGATTTTATTGTATTTACAGTGATTAAAGATTTCTTGGTGACTAAATTTATTTAGGTAAAAATTATTATGCAATAAGATTTTTTTATGATTAATTTTATTTTTTTATGTATAGGATTTGTATTGAAATTTATATATAGAGAGAGTGTGCGTGTGTTTTTAATAAAAGCTAGGTTATCATTAAATAGAAAGGTAAGATATAACAAAAGCAACACAATTCTAACATAAAAACCTAAAAGGGTTGAAGAAAAATAAAATCAAAACCTTCTCTCTTTTTTTATACATGCTTCATCTTCAAAAAAAAAAAAAAACCTAACAACTATCAACAATCTTCATGTCTTTATTCGAACATATACCCATTATTGATCAATGTGTGGAGATTGAGAGAATCAATCTAACATGTTGCTCCACGAATGATTATGAATGCATTAACAAATTACCTCAAAAAGGAATCTAATTAATTTGACTGTCGACAGTTCTTAATCAGGAGGTACACTGTGATGCATGCAACACGAAACACCAAACTATCATAACGATAGAGAAATTTGTATCATAAAAGCATATGAACAATTGTGTCACAAAAGCATATTCAACAAGAAAGAAATCAACACGTGAAGGATGCTTATTTAGATCTAAATAAAAAAAATTAAACAAAAAAGAAAAAACAGAAAAAACTACTTGAATATAGAGAATTATTTTACAAAGATCTAATTCCTTTTGTGATTTTTACCGTTATTGTGATATATATTGTATAGATGAGTTTTGTAGGATATCGAAAAACTTTTGGGTAAGATTGGATTTATGATAAGTATCGAATTGTTAGATACAAGAAATTCCATATATTTATACTCTATGTGATCTCTACTTTTATAGTGAATAATTATTTCTCTCATCCGTGAAAGTAGATAAAATCGAATCACATTAAATCTTATTTGTATACGTATTTTACTCATATTAATCTCACTTTTAATTATTTTTCCGCTAACAAATTCCTAACACGATACAAATAACATCTTTTACAATTTATATACTTCACCAATTTTTTAATAAACATACCAAATTTTATAACAATTTATCTGTTTTAAACAATAAATTTATAACAATTTCTAAAATGTTTATAAACGGGCTAATGTATCTGATGACGTCTTTAATGTATACTTGAAAATTTTAATAAAGTTAAAACTTTCCACGTAAAGAGTGCAAGGCAGAAACTCGAAAAAACTTTTAAAAAAAAGTTAATTGCATTGTACGTCCCTAAATTATATTCTTCATTTTAAATTAGTCTTTAAACTTTTTAAGATTTCAATTTCATCCCAAACTATGAATCTCATTCTAAATTAGCCCTTAAACTTTTGAACATTCTAATTTCATCCCTAAACTATGACTTTCTTTCTAAATTATTCCCTAAACTTTTGAATATTTCAATTCCATCTCTAAATTCATGCAAACTCGTAATTAATTTTAACCAAAATTTTGTTTTTTCCTTCAAAAATTTAATAATATAACTTGGCCTAACGATTTTATTAACAAGGGATGTGATTAGCATATGCGTATAGATTGGGATGAAATTAGAATGTTCAAAAAGTTTAGGGACTAATTTAGAATGAATGTCATAGTTTGGGGATGAAATTGAAATATTCAAAAGTTTGAGGATCAATTTAGAATGATAGTCATAATTTAGGGATGAAATTGAAATATTTAAAGGTTTGGAGATGAATTTAAAATGAGGTCATACTTTGAGGATATATGATGCAATTAAAAAAATAAACTTTCAAACAAGAGACAAAGGCCGAATAGATAGAGATAACATTAATATCTTCTCATTTTTTATTATTATTATTATGCAGTGGGACTTGAATCAACCATATGAATTGGTCATATTATTTAAAAAAGACTCGTGGCCTAATGGAACATAAATAAGATAAATATATGAAAAAGAAATAATGATAATTTTAATTCCACCAGCCGGCTTCTTGTCATGTGATGCAACAAAACTAGTATATAAGCACGTCTTAGTGGCACTACTGAACATATAGCCAAGCAAAAGGCAGGAATGGCTTCTGAAGAGAGCTTGGCAAATGGCGAAGCATACACAATGTGTGAGCTGGGGATGATTAATTCTGGGTGGGGCCAATCTTTAACACTTGATTTGACCAGCTCTTTGGATGGTTATGGAGTTCCGCCGCAAGTGATTCCATCAAATCAAACCCTTGGCTTCAAGCACATGGCTGATTCCATGGCCTCCCTCGGTTCTCTTACTTATGTTCTCAACTATAATCCTCAGGCTCCCGAGTCTAACCCAAAGTGGGTTATTGCTTGGAAGAATGTAAGAGGATGGGCTGGGAAGCCTAACCAGGTGATCTACTCTGGATTTTTTTTGGGCATAATCATCGATATTTGATCGATTAATTGATTAATTCATATCAGATATTGTAGAGGTCTAATATATGGATGATCCTCTTAATCTAATTTGCTCTGTTCACAAATATCAGATTACAAACTTCTTACCTTACTTAAAAAGGATTTAATGTACCTTGGATATTTTAATTCAAGCATTAAATAAATAAATTGATGTACGAAATGAATTGCAGGTGTACACTGAGGTGAGTTCTGATTCAGAACCCTTTGATTTGGATAAAATCAAACAGTGTCTTGAATCTTCTGAATGCGAAAATGTCAACAGTAGTATGAAACTAAAAGCGGAGGCTACAATTGACCCAAGCGGTGACACGCCAACGATGAAGGCAACACTCTCATGCATTTAGGAAGCTGCCTTATGAAACCAAAATGTTATGTTGCTGTCAAAAGCTACTTAATGTTGTCTTATTTAAACTTTATATTCACCGCTATTATACGCTATTAATAAAATTTGGCAGCCATTAATAAACGTTGCTACTGGCTTATATAGCTACTATAGTTTACTTTGTCAACAATTTGTCTTTGATAATTAAATAAATGGTGACAAAGTAATGTAATGTTGTGTGTTTGGATAAAGAATTATGAAGTTTATTGGATGAATCGGTTGTGATATTTTAAAATTGTGTGATCTATTTATAATCTTAGTAATAATTGGAGGATCCATTTATAATCTTACTAATAGAAAATTTGTTTTGTAATTTACCTAATAAAAAAATCATTAAAGCGTTTCCTAACTATTCTTTCTAATGTCTGTTTTATTTTTAGAAGTCAGTGACATGTTTGTAACGGTTGATCAAATGACTCGTTTATAAATTTTTAAAATTCAATGATTCGTTTATAATTATTAATAAATAGCATGTGATGTAAATTATCCAATAATCATCAACGCATTACCACTATGCCATCCAAGAATATTCATTGTAATTTTCAAAATAAAATATTTATAGAGTTAATAGGAATAGGCTTCAACATATGGGCAATATAACCGATGGCTTGTGTGTTCTGTGCAATGAAGACTGGGAGACAAGAGACCATCTATTCCTTAAATGTCCTCTGGCAGTATCTCTTTGGAAAGCTATTCTGCAACTCTCCGGATTAAGGTTACCTTCTTTATCCTGGAACACATTCTTAGCATCGGCTTCTCATGCTTGGAAAGGTAAATCCTTACTTATCACAATTTTGAAACTTGCATGGTGTGCATTTCTCTATTTTCTATGGGAGGAACGAAACAGAAGGTTGTTCAAAGAAATTTCCAGAAATGCAACAGAAATTCTTAAAGCTATCAAGGAGATTGTCAGAATTCAACTTAGAGGTCGGAATATTAATAGACTTGATAGTGTTAATATTACTCTTTGTAAGAAATGGAGTATTGAATAACCTATACTCTGTTTTGTGAATAGGTTATTCTTGATTTTGGGTTGTTTCTCCATTGTTGATTGTTTTGTAGCAGAACACTGCTCCTTTGGGTAATAAAATTTTTCAATTATCCAAAAAATAAAAAATAAAAAAATAGTAACAACGATACATGCTCATGCTCATCCATGCCCTCTTCGTCTTAATTTGTTAAAAATAAATATAAAAAAGTACATGTTCTGCAACATGCAAACTGAGCCTAACTCAGCTCATTAACTCGATTGTTTTGCTAGTTGAGTCCAAAATAATGACCCAACCACTAATTTGATTCTATGCGATAAGTTTTTGAAACTGCAAAATTCAAAATGCTCATAAAGCTAAAGTGGGGGAGATTTGGAAGTCGAGATTCCAGAGATCAAACTTTCCGTTGACAAAATCATAGTGTGCACCTTTCAGCACAAGAGTTTTCTTCACCAATGCCTCTCTCACAAATGGATATGTCAATAAGTTCCCCAGAGAAACATTCACTGCTTCCTGCATTTAGTTTTAACAACACCAACATTATAAGATATTAATGTTTGATCTGAACATACATATGGTTCCGAGAAGAGACGGAAGCAAGGTTTTAAAATAGAGGGTGAACTTATAAAGTTCAAGGAGGACGAAAATATATTATCAATAGATAATATAAAGAAAATTTAAAATTTTCAAAGGGCGAAGTCTCCACCAACCCACATCGGTTCATCCCTGATTTCAAGTATCATATAATATGAATGAGATAATATTCATATTATAACATTTAATAAAAGGGTAAGTTGATATTGTTCAATTAAATATTAAAGAACAACTTTTTGTTTAAGACTCTAAACACAAAAAATGGTGTAGACATGAATCTCACCTTCTCGCAGTGGTCGCATAGTTCTTGGAAACCCATCTCATTGTATTCTGATTTCACCTTGGTTTTCGCAGCTAAGCAGATGCTAACCCATTGTTCTATGAAATCACTGCAAATGTTCAAAATTCAACCATAAACAACCCCATGAATCAATCTTTCATTTGTATTCAACTACAATAGATATCCACAAACTGATAAAGGAGATGATCGAAACCCTAAAATTATAATCATTACCATTGCTATTCTATATATGCTAAATTTTATGAACGTCTTACCTAGCAGTGGTTCCATCATCTGGGATAGACATGAGCCCTTTGATGCCTCCACAGCAACTGTGCCCGATAACCACAATATTCTCCACCTGAACCAGGCGCTGTCTTTTAGTATTTTCAATTCAATGCGAAAACCAGAAATTCCAGAAATTAAATCCATTACGTACGCAACTAATTAATCAGTATAGTTACACCTTATCATTTTTTTCTTAAGAATCAATAATTGGCATTTTTGTCCTTATACATATTTAGACATGCATATTAAACATGATTCTCTAAATATATACAAACATTTGTTATACAGAGGATCGAAGTCAAGATCTTCAGTTAGGGGTCGAGATGAAAAAATATAAGTTGTTTGGGGTCAAGTAAAAAGTTTAATGCTAAAAGGATTAAATTAAATTAATAATTTTCGTGAGGGGATTAAAAATATTTTTTTTTCATTTCATCCAAGGGGACAAAGGGGAATAGTACTTGAGACTTTGAAAAATGTTTTGGCATCTCTAGTGACTAAAGATCTTGTTGCCCTCACCGAAAATGTTAGCATCTACTGCGAAAAAAGAAATAATATTAACTTGAACTTACAAAGTAAAACTACACTATTATTATATATTAATTCACCTTTAGATGCAGGACTGCATACTCAATAGCAGCACCAACTCCGCTGTATTTTTTCTACAATTGAACAATAAAATCAAAGAATATGACTAATAAAATCAATGCATGAAATTTCGAAATAAAAATATTTAATTAGTAATTGATTAATTTTTAACCCGTGTCGACTAGTTAAATTAACCCATAATTATAATTTATTGTTGACTATTTTGAGTCAAACTAACATAATTTAAAAAATTAAGAATGCAGAATTAGGCGAACCTTGTCATAGGGCGGGACCATGCTGGCAATGTTTCGAACCATAAAAGCCTCCCCCGGTTGGAAATCCAGGATGTGGGACGGACACACTCGAGAGTCGGAGCATGCAAATATCATATACTGGAGAGAGAAAATGAACAGATATAATCATTGAATTGAAAGAGAAACAATCTTTCAAATTTAACCCGTAATTCAATATATGTATTACATGATCCCATATGTGAAGTATACTTAAATATATTTATATCCAACATTTTTTATCAACTACGGATAAAATAACCCAAAGCGATTTTTTCACAAACATGTGAGTGCACAAAATGACAAGAAAGAAACTCGTAAAAGCTACCTGCAATTTCAATTTCACTTGTCAAATTCTTCTTTAAACGGAAAAGTAAGAGGCATATCACTCTTTATATTCCCCTTTACCACCATTCCAAAAGTGTGCAAACTATGGCCACACACGGCACCATTCTGAGTTAGCATATTCTTGGTTCAGAGCTTAATGCATTATTGTGCTCGAGAATGGAAGAGTTCCATAAAAAAGGTACAAATCTATGATAAAATAATATATGATAGGATTGAGCAAAACACTGAAAACCAATTCAAATATAGTGCTAGTTGGGTGTTTAATCAGCTCCAATCTTGTATGAAATGCTCGAAAAAATATGAAGGAGAAAGAAGGGGGGGGGGAATTATCAAACGAACCTTGGGGCTTTGGCCTTTGGCAAGTGTACCGTACAGATCAGGATTTTTCCTGGAAAATTAAGTCAGCCAAACAGATTCATAATAAGCTAATTATAATTCATTTTCAGAGGGAAAAAATGGATGCAGCCAGCCAATTTCTCAATTATAGTGAAAATATTATAATATAAAAATATTTTTAGAATAATCACTAACAAAACTTATATATGACAATTTTAAACATGTAAACATTATACTGATATAAAAAGAAAATAACATTACAAGGATAACACATTTAAAAATAATTTAATCTACATTTCAAATTGTTAATCAATTTAAAATTTTTATTTATTTATATTTATATAACTATTAAAAAACGTAATAAATACATTAGCCAATTGAAAAGGATAATGGATCATGAAGAAGAAGAAGAAGAAAAAGTCGCATAACATTAAATACAAAGAGAAGAAGAAACGAAAATCATACGCACATTCCACGGTTTGAAAGACGGATAGAAACTTCCAGTTTTCTTTTCTTTCATTAACTTTTTTAAGTAAATAACAATAGTCATAACTTCTAACGTGATAATTTTATTGTTTTAGCCAAAATACCCAGGCTAATGTTTATATATCCATAATCGATGTGAATGGATTATACATAGATAAACATAGTAGCAGTAAAATTATAAACGTACTCGAATTTTTCTGTCTTGAAATGATTGAAACCGGTTTTGATCCGGTTATCCGCGTCGGAACTGCCAGCTGCCTCTAATTCGGCCGTTATCTGTTTGATTTTCGAGGCGGCAACACTGCCGAGATCAGTTTTGTCACTGCAACCGAGGACGATAAACGCCATCATTACAGAGTTTACAGCCAGTCATCAGTGAAGGTTGGCGCAAACGTTAAACCGTATTAAAACGACGGATTAAGGACGGAAATTATAGGTGAAATAATCGTCCCAGAAAACGAAATCCTTGGCTTTTTTCCGGTTCGGACCAGGAAAAAATTGTAAAATACAGAGAATAGCACTGTAAATACCTTAGAAGATTTGACAGAGCTGCAATCGCCTCGTCGTACTCGCTTCCCATATCTTCTTCCTTGAAAAAGAAAAAAAGAGAGACAATAATTATAAAAATCATTAATCATCATGATCAAAGTTCAAATTAAAACGTAAAATAATTGCCGTAAATCCATAAATCTCCGAGAAAATCAAGACTCGAGAGCCAAAGAAAAAGTAGGAAAATGAAAGGATTGAAAAAATTGAAGCGGTAGATGAGGTGATCTGAATCGGGATCAACGAAAGAACAGCAATGCTATGAACAGATTGGGAAAGTAAAAGAAGAAGAATCCATTATCTTTAATGATATTTTTTTAACTTAAAAAACTTTCAGATTCTGAATTTGTGAAGATTGAATTCACCAACCTTGTAAGTTGATAAATCGCCCTATTTCCCTTTTTCCTTTTTCCTTTTTGACGAAATCAAGGTATCAAGCAGTTTGTAACTTTCTGCTACATCTTTGTGCTCTACTTATAGTGGCTTATATTTTACCCGCCAATATGAGGTAAAATGTTAAAATTTTTGTTAAAAGAAAATAATTTAAGTTTTTTAAGCAGTGGACGCGTTTGTCATGTGCTTTATTTATGGCAAGGGCTGACCAAATATTTTCCAAAAAATCGAGTCTTCCGTTTGATTCTGGTTCAGTTTTTATTGGATTTGACTTAATTTTAATTTTAATTAGTAATAACTTATGTATATATAATTCGATTGAACGTTCGATTTCTCAAAGTTCACAAATATGATTATTTAAATTAAATCGATTTCTATTATGCGATTGAAAAATTAAGAAAATTCGAATCATATTATACAATTTAATTTTTTATTTTAGAGTTCAATCTAGTTATTTAATTTAATAATTTGGTTCAATTTCAGATTTTTCATTTGAATCCTATTTAATTTAAATCAAACCAAATTAAAAAAAATAATTGTTCAAATCAAATCAATCTTAAATTTGTTATAAGATAAATTTAAATAAATATAATATTACGGTGCGTCGGCTCAGATTGAATAATATGAAAGTGGGGCTGGTCAATATTTACGCTCCAAATGATAGCGTTGAGAGAAGAGAATTTTTCATTGCAACTGGAAGCAACCCTTGATGGGCTGGGCATCCCTGTTGTGATCGGAGGAGATTTCAATACGGTCAGAAGAGCAGAGGAAAAGGTTGGTGGTCCGGCTTGTGTGACTGAGATGGCGGATTTTGAGAACTTTATTCAAGGAAGGAACCTGATTGTTTTGCCACTTGAAGGTAGCTCCTATACTTGGTTTAAAGGTGGTTCTTCGTCGACTGCTTGTAGATTAGATAGGTTTCTGCTGTCTACAGAATTTCTGGCGTGGTTTCCCTGTTTGGTCCAATCCTTCTTTCCAAGAAGCTTATCAGATCATTACCCAGTGCTTTTGGGTGAAAACAAGGTTGGGTGCGGTCCTCGGCCCTTCAAATGGTTTTCTCACTGGTCCGAGGACAGGAGCTATGCGGAGATGATAAACAAAGTTTGTGCTGAGTGCAAAAATAAAGGCGTTGGTATTCTGATGAAGAAAGTAAAAGTTGCGTCAAAAGAGTGGGTGTCGAAGGTTCATTCCAACGATCCAGAGAATGTAGCAGGTTTAGAAAACAGAATTGAGAAGCTTGAGCAAACAGCTTTGGTTGCCAGGGATAACAGCGAAATCTTGTAAGAGATTCGAATTGCGAAAGTTAAGCTTTGGTCGAGGCATAGAAGGGAGGAAAGGGAATGGCTCCAGAAATCGCGGCTTAGATGGTTTAAGGTGGGTGATCGTAACACCAAAATTTTCCATTTATCCGCATCTTTAAGAAGGAGAACAAACTTTATTTCGAGAGTCGAAGTGGGTAATGAGGAGGTAAAAGAGCCTAGTAGGATTTTCTTGGAGTTCGAGAATCATTACCGTAAGTGTTGTAACGACGTCTCTACCCTACCTGTAAAAAGTTTTGATGTCCAGTTTAGAAAATTAAGCTTTATTTCAAGGAGAGCTATTGAAGAACCGTTTTCGGAGGTCGAGGTGTGGAGTGCCATTAGTTCGGCTGACGGGTCTAGGGCTCCTGGTCCCGATGGGTTTAACATTGACTTTTATAAGAAATTCTGGCCCTTTTCATTAAACGTTGTTACATTAGCATCAATCACTTGAAGTCCCAAAGATTCTATGCCTTCCATCAACTTTGCAAAGCGACCTCTCTTGTGCTCATAGTGGAGTTTAATCAAGAACTCTCCTGGTCCAGCTTCTTCTTCTCCTCCTGCAAATCTCCGACATATTCGATGGCATCCGTAAGAATAGCAGGTCTATCCATCTGCAAATTTGAAAACAACGATATCATTCGAGATGTCTAATAAGAAGGCAGAAGAGTGAAATGAATTTTGTTATCATGCTTATATGTAATGTTAATTCGAGCTAACCTTGGATTTCTTAGGGACTACAGCTCTTAGCTTGAGGAGCTGTTCATTTATCTTCTTCCTTCGGTTCCTCTCTGAGATAAGATTCTTAGAATGGTATTTCTTTTTCTCAGGCTGCTCGGTAGTTCTCATTCCGTTGTTTACAGACTTGTTACGATCCGGAACAAACTTTGCTTGTTGCTCAGACACATTTTTGGTGCATCTTAGTCTCTTCGTTCCATAATGTGTGTCAATTAGCTGCTTGAATTTCTCGCCTTGAGAAGTGTAGGCAGAATCAGAAGCAAAGGGTGGATGTTCAATTGAAGGACTGGAACCACAGTATGATCCATCCAAGCTAGGATGGGAGCTTGAATCCGATACCGGTGGAATCGATCCTATTCTCGGAACAGAGGTCGACAAGCTAATGGAAAATGGCAAGTTATAACATTTGTCAAGATTTGCTTTTGCATAGCTTTCTGCAGTTGTGAGTTCTGGTTTCAAAACTGCATTGCATTGAGATGTTACTAACTCTATGATGCCGTGATCTTTCGGTATCTGCATGAAAAAGGATAAATGAACATGTTTATTAGAAAGAGAGTAATGGATTGCCAGGAAATCAATGAGAAAGGCCAAAGGATCTTGCATGTTTCGAAGCAAAGAGCTCGATTATACCGCCGAAAACCGGGATCAGAACTCGTGTTCCCGTCATTTCCTGTCAAAAACACATTGATCATATCAAATTATAGGAACACTTAAAGCTACATTTCCAGAAAAATTGATTTTCATTAGGTAAAAATTACAGTTCAAGAAGATAACCTTCACATTTGTTGATCAAACTTAAACTACTGCAAGTTTTAGACTAAGCAAAAGTAAGTTAAAAGAGTGGAAAGTACTCACATAATGTGAAGAATGTGAACCAGAGCCATTTCCATAGTTAATCCAACATGGTTGATTGGACATAGCAACCTCTCCATGAATCCTGTTCTTTTCACTGTCACAAAATCAAAATAGTTCTCTTTTTTTTCTTCTTCTTGAATTTCCAAAACTGAAAACTCTATAAGTTGAGAGAGCAATGTTTACCCAGAATAGAGAGAAATGACAAAAGGAAAATGTGAGAGAGCTTCACAAGCCTTTGATCTAATGGGATGTTGGCTTCTGCAACTCATCTTGTTCCTCTTTGACATTAAAACAAGCGCTACAACAACAACCTTTCCATTCAATAAACCTTCAACAAGAAACCAAAAACAAAGAAACAAAAGCTTCATTTGAGTCTCCAGAAAGGAACAGAATGAAGATGATTATTGGTTATGGTGATCAATGGTGTACCTAGAAGGATCATCACCCAATTTCCAAACAACACAAAAGTCCCAACCTTTACTATCAACAAATGGTCTAAGCCAATCCACTGTTCTATCAAAACCTCTCATTGTCTTTGTCACCTCGAAACAACCCAAGAACTTACTGAAAATCTTTGACCAATCACGAGAGGAGAAAAAATGGTGGAAATACAAAAAGAAATTATTTTTATAAAGCTCAAGGGCAATGTTTTTTTGTTAACCAACTAAAAGTTGGGGGTGTAAAGGAGGGATCATCTTAAAATTGGGAACAAAATCTGTGACAGAGAAGCATCTGATGCCGACAGTAACAATGGCAGTGGCAGTGGCAGTGGTAGTGGCAGAAGTAGTTTTTCTTTATAACAACAAACTACCGACGGTTCAGAAGCACTTTGTCGCTGTAGTCTTTCGATTGGTTCCGAAATAAAGAAGTAAATTCTCATTCCAATTAAAATAAAGAAATATTATAATTTCATTCTAAAATTCATTATTAATTTCAATGCACGAAACAAATGAAACTTTCAAAGGAAAATGGCGCATGATAAAAATATTCTTTGGGCGCACGATAGCATCTGAAAATTCCTTCGCGTCGCCGGTGAATCGATCGATTTTTCCTCGCAAGCCTCACCTGTTTCTTGTTCTTTCCTTAAACAATCGTCGGTTCGTTCTTCTGATGGAGTGGAGGAATCTCTTTGGATGCTCAGATGGACAAGAACTGGAATTCTTCTCCCCGTCCTACCCAGAAGGGATCCCAACAGTTCATCCCCCGCCTGAAGTCCTTGACGCTGGAATCTCCGAATGGAAGCTCTCCTTAGTGGGTCAATTCCTCGGGTCTGCTCCAAATCTTGTCACAATGCAAAGGATTGCAAGCATACTTTGGACAAAAGCAACACAAGGCTCTCGTGTCCAGGTTAGTAAGGCTGGAAGAAATCTCTTTATCTTTTCTTTCAACAGTGAAACTGCTAGAGATTGGGTCATAGATAATGGCCCTTGGCACATCCTAAACAAGCCAATGATACTTAGAAAATGGGAGCCGAACCTCAAGAGAATTAATTTTGATTTGTCAAAAATCCCAGTTTGAGTAAAACTCTTCAACGTGCCTTTGGAGCTTTATACCAGAACTGGACTCAGTTATATAGCCAGTGCAATTGGGAATCTTATCTCTTTGGATTCGATTACTGCTTCAAAAACAAGATTGGAATTTGCTCGAATCTGTGTTGAAATTGGAGTTACTGATGAAATCCCCAAATTCGTTAACGATATTCTCAAAGATGGGAGAACAACCTCCATTTCTGTTGAAGTGCCCTGGCTACCACTCAGCTGTAAAAATTGTAAAGTTTACGGGCACACAAAGAAAAACTGCTTCTCAAATGCAGCACCGGTCAAGACACAAGTATGGATCAAAAAGAGAGTACTACGTCCTAACTCAAAGGCCCCAACATCAGGAGAAAATGAAGCTCTGCAAGATCCAAATGAACCTGCCTCAATCACTACAATGGTGCAAAATAAAAACGAAGGTGGTCATGATAATGTTCTGGTGTATATCGAAACCAACTCAATTCATACGGCTCCTATTGTTGAGGAAAACTACACGGACACAGTTCAAGTAGAAACAGAAACAGATTCTAAACATGAAGGTATTCAAGACAATCACTTTCCAGCCCTTAAAGTTTCAGATATTGAGAATGTATCTACTGCTCTGGAACAATCAAATGACTCAGGCAGCAACTCTTCCACCATCCACAAACGAGAGAAAGGCAGACCAGTTAAGGACAACAAAAATGTTATCCTAGCTGGATCAAAAAATAAATTTGGCATCCTCAATTCAATAGACGAACATTCTTCTGTCACAGAGGGTTAAACCATAAAAGTTCGCACTGCTTCTCTAGGCGTTTCAGCTCTGCTCAATGATCTCAAAAAGAAGAAGAAAGAACACTTAGAAAGATCAAGGAGTTCAACAGTAGGAGGAACTGGGGGTGCTTCGAACTCTCTTGCTCAATGAATATCAGCTTTTGGAATGTACGTGGACTGAATAGTCCTCTAAAACAGGACAAAGTTCTACAAAGGGCTTACCAACATAATGTCGATGTCCTCTGCCTACTGGAAACACATGTTAAAGAAGAGAAGACAGTGGGCATATTTGAAACAAAATTTTCAAAATGGAATGTATGTTCCAATTACGATTTTGCTATTAATGGGAGGATTTGGCTTCTCTGGAAAAAAGATCTGGACCTCTCAATATGTGATACTTCCGCACAATGTGTTTCTGTCAAAGGATCCTACCAAGGCAACCCTCTTATTATAACAGCAATTTACGGAAGCAATGACGGAACTTCTCGAAAACATCTATGGCATCGTCTGCGAGAACTTGAAAGGAGTTATGGCCAATTATCTTGGATTCTAGGAGGAGACTACAATATTATATTGCACCCTAATGAAAGTTCAGATCATGATCTCCTGGGCCCAATCATTTCTCCTGAAATGAAGGAATTCAAAGAATGCACTCAAGACTTAGCACTACAGGATCATCCTTTTTTTGGTCCAATGTTCACCTGGAGCAACAAACAACAAGCCTCTTTCCTTGCGAGGAAGCTTGATAGGGTTCTAATTAATTCTACATGGGTGAGAACTTTCCAAAATTCATTTGTTGAATTCCTCGCCCCGGGACCCTCAGATCATTGTATGGTCTTAGTTTGCCTTAACAAAGAAATTCAAGCTAATAAACCGAAGCCATTCAAAATTTTCAACTTCTGGGCTCTCCATCCCAATTATTTGATAGAGGTACGACATTCTTGGCAACCAACCATTCAGGGCAACCCTATGCATGTTCTCTTCCACAAACTCAAACGTCTCAAAGTTTGCTTAAGGAAACTCAACACGGAATGCTACAGTGACATAACTATTCGAGTTAAGGATAAGCGGAAGGAGCTTGACCAACATCAACTCTCTACTCTCAGAGGTGATAACACTTGCGAGAAAGAGCTTATCTTACAAAAAGAGTTAACAACTCTAGAAAAGGCTGAGCTTATGTTCTTAAAGCAAAAGTCTAAAGCTAAATGGATAAAGGAGGGTGACAAATGCTCTAAATTTTTTCATTCGGTCGTGGCAATCAAACACAAGCGCGACACAATTAGGGTTCTTGTTGACGAACAAAGAAGAAGACTAGAATCCTTTGACACGATGGCATCTGAGGTGACTACTTTCTTCTCCAAATTAATAGGTACTTCAGATCCCAACGTAACCGAGTGCAATCAGACTCTACTCAAAAGCCTGCTACAATTTACTTTGCCTCCTGAAGCTTCTTCTGGTCTAATCAAGGAAGTATCAAAAGAGGAGATTAAGGAAGCCATCTTCAATCAAGGCAACGACAAAGCTCCTGGACCGGATGGATTCACACCTTATTTTTTCAAAAAATCATGGGATGTGGTTGGAGACGATGTGGTGGACGCAATAAAATACTTCTTTCAACAAACTTATCTGCTTCCAGCTTTCAATGCTACTACAATCGCACTGGTGCCTATAGTGCCAAATCCAAGCAAGGTTAAAGACTTCCGGCCAATTTCATGTTGCTCTGTTGTTTACAAGACAATTACTAAGATATTAGTAAAACGACTGACCAATCTACTCCCAGGGATGATTACTCCAAATCAATCTGCCTTTGTAAAAGGTAGAAGTATCGTCGACAATACTCTCCTTGCACAGGAATTGGAGAAAGGCTATGGAAGAAAATCAACTTCCCCAAGATGTTCTTTGAAGATTGACCTTCAAAAGGCCTTTGACACTCTTCACTGGGGCTTCATTTCATCAGCCCTAAATGTTATACAGCTTCCAAAAACCTTCATTGACTGGATTGAAGCTTGTTTCTCAAATGCTAGATATTCCATATCCTTTAACGGAAGCCTGATTGGATACTTCAAGGGTGAAAAAGGAATAAGGCAAGGTGACCCACTATCCCCCTTCTTATTCGTTCTCGCAATGAATATGTTGTCTAAAATTCTTAACTTGGCTGCTGCGAGAGGCATGTTTGGCTTCCACCCTAAATGTAAGAAGATAGGGCTCACTCACTTAATGTTTGCGGATGATCTTCTAATCTTTTGCAAAGGAAATTTGGAATCAGTTGTAGGAGTCAATACTGTTTTAGACAAATTCTATGAAATGTCTGGCCTCAAGCTTAATGCGGCCAAATGCGAATTCTATGCTTCTGGTATCTCTACTAATATCCTGGAGTTCATCACCAAAGCTACGGGGTTCAAGCAAGGATGCCTGCCTATGAGATACCTAGGAGTCCCTTTGGTCACAAGGAAACTCTCTGAAAATGACTGTGTTGTTCTCATTGACAATATCAAATCCAGGCTTTACCATTGGTCAGGTAAACTCTTGTCTTATGCAGGAAGACTCAAACTTATAAGAGCGGTCTTGTTTAGTGTTGCTAACTACTGGTGCAGACAACTTTTTCTTCCTCAATCTATCATTAA